ATGTAATGTACACGGACTTTGCAAAAGCATTTGACAAATGCGATTATGGCGTAATAGCCCATAAAATACGTGCTAAAGGAATAACTGGGAAAGTGGGGAGATGGATCTTCAACTTCCTAACAAATCGAACACAAAGAGTAGTGGTCAACAGAGTTAAATCGGAGGCTGCCATAGTGAAGAGCTCTGTTCCACAAGGCACAGTACTCGCCCCCATCTTATTCCTTATCCTCATATCAGACATAGACAGAGATATACACCACAGCACCGTATCATCCTTTGCGGATGATACTAGGATCTGCATGAGGCTGTCATCTGCTGAGGACGCGGTTAACCTCCAAGAAGATATAAACAAAGTTTTCCAGTGGGCAACGGTAAACGATATGATGTTCAATGAGGACAAATTCCAACTACTCCGTTATGGAAAACTGGAGGAGATAATAACTAGAACTGAGTATACTACTGACTCCGGCCATACAATAGAGCGGAAAAATAATGTAAGGGACCTGGGAGTAGTAATGTCTGAGGATCTCACTATCAAGGATCACAACAGTGCCACGATCGCACGTGCAAAGAAAATGATAGGATGGATAATGAGAACTTTCAAAACGAGAGATGCCAAGCCAACGATGATCCTTTTCAAATCACTTGTTCTCTCTAGGCTGGAATACTGCTGTACATTAACATCTCCATTCAAAGCAGGTGAAATCGCAGATCTAGAGAGTGTACAGAGATCCTTTACTGCATGTATAAGTTCTGTCAAGCACCTTAACTACTGGGAACGCTTGGAAGCACTTGACTTGTACTCGTTGGAACGCAGGAGGGAGAGATATATCATAATCTACACTTGGAAAATCTTGGAAGGAATAGTCCCAAATCTGCACACAGAAATCACTCCCTACGAAAGTAAAAGACTGGGCAGGCGATGCAAAATGCCCCCAATAAAAAGTAGGGGCGCCATTGGTACACTAAGGGAAAACACCATAAGTGTCCGGGGCCCAAAACTGTTCAACAGCCTCCCATCAAGCATTAGGGGAATTGCCAATAAGCGCCTGGCTGTCTTCAAGAGAGAGCTGGACAGATACCTAAAGTCAGTGCCGGATCAGCCGGGCTGTGGCTCGTACGTTGGACTGCGTGAGGCCAGCAGTAACAGCCTAGTTGATCAGGCCCTGATCCATCGGGAGGCCTGGTCATAGACCGGGCCGCGGGGGCGTTGATCCCCGGAATAACCTCCGGGTAACCTCCAGGTAACCTCCAGGTATCTCCCTGTCCATCTGCTACTCTAGTGACTTAATTAATAGATAGTTTCCACTACTGCTCTTTGGCAATTTCCATCAGCTGAGGCACCGGTCTTTGTACTTCCTCTTGTTTCACTTAGTTTTACAAGGTCTGGGCTCCACACCGGCGCTCCGTACTCAAGAATGGGTCGAACACATATGAGGTAAAGTGTGTTTTGAAGAAATCCTCCTCTTGGATCCTGTATGTTTGCTGAGTTTGTCTCTGCTGCTGCTGGTGGTGGTGGTGGTGCTGCTGCCGCTGCCGCTGCCGCTGCCGCTGTCCTCATACTGTTCTCACCCAACAGAGGGTTCTAACCCATGGCAAGGTGGCCCTAAAATTATCAGGGAACAGGTCTGGGAAAAAAATTTTCCCTCTCTCTTTTTTTTTAACTGGAATCAAACCCGATTATGTCCCATTCCCTAAACAAGTTCGGGGCTTCCCCACGAAAATAACAACATCCCTTTCCTCCCAGATGGAACTTCTGTCTTCACTGTGTGTGTGTGTGTGTGTGTGTGTGTGTGTGTGTGTGTGTGTGTGTGTGTGTGTGTGTGTGTGTGTGTGTGTGTGTGTGTGTGTGTGTGTGTGCGTGTACGTTGTTTCACTCATAACATCATTATCAGAATCAGAGACGACCACCTCAGAGTTAGTCAGCCAATGCTGAGTTGATGAAGTCCTGTGCTGGAGTTAGAGGAGTCCTGCGCTCTGTTGCATCCTGCAGAATCTTCCCTGCTGCTCTGCCGTCTTTACCTCCCTTCACATAAGGAGCCTTGATGCTGGGGAAAATTTAACCTAATTACCTTAGGTTCCCCAGACGCTCTGTCCCGTATGGGTTTTACATTTCCCAGTAATAATAATAATGATAATAATAATAATAATAATAATAATAATAATAATAATAATAATAATAATAATAATAATAATAATAATAATAATAATTGGATGTGCTCAACAGCTCCATTAACCAATCAACCAATCTGTTAATCCTCAAGATTACAGCCACTTCTAAGCATTTTCTTTTGTATCTGTTTTCATTTTTTTAGTACTAACTTGGCGGTGTTTCACCTGCGTAAAGTTTACTCAGTCGTTAGCAAGGAAAGGCAACGTTGCTGTGCGTATCTGTGGACGTTACCTGAACACTGGTTTGAGAGCCAAGTGTCTGCACTGTTCCGCATGGGAGAGGTAATTAGCTGTATGTAGGTATAATAACACTAAGAAATTAACACGAGGATCCTGAATGATTGTTGGTTAATGGAGTTTAAACCCTATCGACTACACGAAGGCCATTAAGGCTGCACGTAACCTGTTCACCACCAGTCGAGAATACGTCACGTGGATTCAGGAACAGACGTATGCATGGAGTCACATCTTTCCACCCTTACCATACAGTTCCGAACTTCTGGACGGAACAGAGTAATGGAAGACTGACCATCGAAGTGGAAAGATGGACGTTGTTAATATTACACATAATTACAAACTACAATGAGGGGAGAACAAATAACATTTGACCTCTCCGACAGGTCAACCATTTGTTACTTTCCCCTCGCGGAGCGGCAAGGTAACTAGGATTATTTTGTTCGACTCGTGATTAAAAAAAAAAGTAAAAGACTGAATGTTTGTATAATATAACTTTGATGTTTAAAAAAAAAATACAAAAAAAACCTGAAAAAAATACATTTATGATTGAATTTTATTTCCGCACCGCAGGTTTTATTTTTGTGGAGGTGAGTCTAGATGGAAATAAATATAATAATTCGCTATATTCTGATAATATTAAATAATCTTTTTCTTTACTGAATTTTATTAGTGGGTAAATTTTTTCAAAATATTTTAATAGTGAAGTGATACCAACTGAATATTTTTTAAATATTGTGATAATAATAATAATTATTATTATTATTTTATTATTATTCTTTATAATAAATATTATTAATTAATAATGTATTATAATTTTTGTGAATATATCAAGAAGTGTCGAGTTTATTCTCGAAGATTATGGTGCTGTTGTTGTTGTTGTTACTGCTGGTGTTGTTGTTGTTACTGCTGGTGTTGTTGTTACTGCTGCTGGTGTTGTTGTTACTGCTGCTGGTGTTGTTGTTACTGCTGCTGGTGTTGTTGTTACTGTTGCTGGTGCTGTTGTTACTGTTGCTGGTGTTGTTGTTACTGTTGCTGGTGTTGTTGTTACTGTTGCTGGTGTTGTTGTTACTGTTACTGGTGTTGTTGTTACTGCTGCTGGTGTTGTTGTTACTGTTGCTGGTGCTGTTGTTACTGTTGCTGGTGTTGTTGTGTTACTGTTACTGGTGTTGTTGTTACTGCTGCTGGTGTTGTTGTTACTGCTGCTGGTGTTGTTGCTACTGCTGCTGGTGTTGTTGTTACTGCTGCTGGTGTTGTTGTTACTGCTGCTGGTTGTTGTTGCTACTGCTGCTGGTGTTGTTGTTACTGCTGCTGGTGTTGTTGTTACTGCTGCTGGTGTTGTTGTTACTGTTGCTGGTGTTGTTGTTACTGTTGCTGGTGTTGTTGCTACTGCTGCTGGTGTTGTTGCTACTGCTGCTGGTGTTGTTGCTACTGCTGCTGGTGTTGTTGCTACTGCTGCTGGTGTTGTTGCTACTGCTGCTGGTGTTGTTGTTTACTGCTGCTGGTGTTGTTGTTACTGCTGCTGGTGTTGTTGCTACTGCTTGCTGGTGTTGTTGTTACTGTTGCTGTGTTGTTGCT